AGGTGCGAGGGAAGTTCTATCTAAATAATTTAAAACCAATTTTTTTATAGTGTTGAAGTGAATCAACAAAAATCATCCTGTAGCTGTCTGTCTTGTAAAATTATCTCTAAACTGTGTACTGAATCTTTCTTTCGTGAATTTTCCCTGGAATTTGCGGCATATTTTGTACGCCCTTTGTATGATAAGTTGACATTAAATTAGCATTTGTGTGCTGCAAACCACATTTCTCCTTTGTGTGTGGACTGTATAATTTAAACAACAATTAAACTGCCATTTGAACACTGCGTAAAATTCCTGGAACAGACTAGAACAATATGGTCACTAAATGTAAATGAAATCCCGGGTATCAGTCAGTGCCGTGAATAATGGAAAAGTTCTTTATGGAAAGAAGGCCACCGGATCTATGTATCATGCGGTGTGGAAACGGAAGTAAATTTATACGTGTCTTAACGGCAAATGTTCAGTATGTTATGGGGGTACGTCTATTACTGCATGTAAATATTTGTATCCGTGGAGTCCATTTGTAAATATTGTCGTCCGCCCTCTGTTCTCTGTTCGCGTATCTCCCTAGTGTCTAGTGGTTTCCTTGAAGGATTTTTTTTGTCTGTGTTGACTAAAGGTAGTTAACCAATGTTCAATTCTATTCTTGACAATATTTTGTTTGTAAATATTAGGCTATCTCGCTCTAATGTTTTAACGCTGAAGTTAACATTTTTGACATAACTATCACATAGACATTAAAACGTGACAATTATTCTTGACCTAAAAATATAATAACATTCAATGGGCAGAATTATCAACTGAACTATGCAATTTATTTGTGGAACTTGTAACAGGTATATACTATATCTAAATAGTTATATAACCTGGGTAGTCATTCAGAGACACTGGTCCGATTTTAGAAGCATATTTATTTAATTATAACATCTGGTTCAATGGAACGTATGCAAACTGATTTAAACAAACGAAACTGTTTGTTGCATTCTACTAGCTGCTGCAAACATTTCTAACAAAAATAAATTTTTGATTCATAGATAGCACACTTTCGCAAATTTTGAAATTTTGGAATTTAGAAGAAACACAACAAACTGCAAAATTTACACAACTTTAATAACGACTCAATACAACAATGCCCTTTACACATTTTTCCGCTATTGTCACTTTTACTTTTAACTGTAGTGCTACAATTCCTTAGTTGTCAGCATTAAAATATTTGTGACTAAATTATAAATATTAATATATCGTTAGACTGACCCGAACAGTTCAAAGTCTGTTTTTAAACAAAATACAAACTATAAACAAAAGGTAACTGTCCTTCAAGTATTAAATGTTGAACATACGTAAGTGTATCAAAATATCATACCGTTGGCATTTTAATTGCTACATTATACCAAGTACAAGAATTTTAAATCGCACGGATCGGTCCGTTGAAAGTGCAAAGATTCTGAATCACGCAACGCTTCGTTGTAATAAAAATATTGTAATGAATATAATAAAACGGTTGAGAAACTGTAAAGTAAATTTGCATGTGTGTTCTGTTTTAACCATGTCGGCGATAATAAAATTTTTATTCTTACTTAAAAAATATTTGCTTGCAGTTCAAAGTAACAACAACTAATCTTTCTATTTGTACGACTGAAAAATATTTAAACAAAAAGGCGTTCTTGTGCAACTTAGAGATAATTGAAGAACTAATCTATTAATAAATATTTGTACCTATTATAAACTGAGTTCTAAAGACGGCTATTGCATCACTGTGTATGTAATAAATGTTTTCATTTGAAATTTTACTTATCACGTAAGTCCCTCAACCACATGGTTCATATAGACATCTTATTGTTTCCTATATAGACAAAAGGAAGTGACTGGATCTTGTTTATTACTTTGAAACTATCGATGATGACATTGCACCCGTTGTAACAGCTAACCGTAATATGTAACCAATCAAACATAAAGTAAGTGGAAATCAAAGGGGTTCCATCCATGTCTTAATTAGTTGAGCAGGAAATGCCAATCATGGTACAGTAAAATACGCCGACAGAAAATTGAGAGCAGTTGTTTTATTATTATTTAAAATGCATATTATTAAACAATGTAAAAACTGTAAAACGATGATACGCTGATTCAGACTCTCTTTTATATTTTAACGAGTAGTTTCCAAACAATTTGATACGCCAGTTGAAACACCTTGTATGTAAATATTTCTGGACACCACCTTAAAATATTGATAATGTAACATTTTCGGACGAAAATGAATTTTCCAAAAAAGGTAGCTACTTTTTCAAGCAATGGTATGTACTATGTGGGCGTGTGTTCTAAGTCAAATACAAGCAAAGGGAATTCATACAACCAACCTCCATTATGACAAACATTACTCAATCTTATTCCCACTTAAGAATAATAAGTTAACGATAAGAATACTTTCGTTTAAAAAACTCTATTCATTTTTATTTTGATATTGTACGATATCTTCACAAACCACGTAAAATAGTGCTATTTTTCTTAAGTTCTCAATAAAATCCATAACCTGAGCTCTAAATAGAACACGAACTTTTAGAATAGAATGTGAATTTTGTTTGGAAACTGTTACAATGTTCAAATGTTACAGATTTGTAAAACCTACGTGATGTTTGGCACAAGTATTCTAAAATTATGAGTAATTATAAAAATGTTATCAACTCGTTCTCAATGCGCCTCACGTAAAATAAGTTTAATCGAAACTAATGACGAATGATTAATTTCTTTATACTTTCCGAATTTAGTAGTTGTGCACGAAACTATAGTTCGGTTATTTTCATAAGCCGACATTTCACCCATTCAAAGCGTGATAATTAATATTGCACACACGCCACATCTCTGGACTAATTTTACCCTTTCACATCCTTATTCGACCTACAGTACGAGTTTTTATGTAAATTTAATAAGAAAATTCACGGATTAAAACGTCAGCTGATCGAAGTGGGTCAGGTGTAGGCACAGTGGCGTACATGGAGTATTAAATGTCACTGCAAAAACCACGTACATCACATTGTATTTCCTAAGCAGGTATCGCATGACCAAGATGAACAAGATAATTTATATGTATTTACCAATCTTCGATAAAAAATTCTATACTTCATAATCATTAGGTGATTTTAAAAGAGGCATATGATAGCATATTCAAAGTTCATTCGATTACGTCACCCTGATCAGATTTTACTTCCAATAATATTGAAATAACTTAATTTGGTGAATATTTAAAAATATCCGGGATTATGTGTACCCGATAACTACTATGCTCGTAATATCGCATTCTATTAAAATGGGTAACATGTCAATGTACAATGAAGGTCAAAAAACTCTGTTTTAAAAATAACAGTGATATCTTGCACGACTAACAAACTGGTTAAAAAATTTTACGTCGACTTTTCCTAGCACAATTACAATCATATTATGTCTATCTTGACAGATCACAACATTGAAAATATGTTCAATAATCAATTTAATTCAAAAATTATACGAACATATTAATTAGCACCTTTTGGCCACATTTAAATGCAGGTAGTTATCATCAGATCTTGTAGATCCCACCTGCCCGAACGTTAATCTCTAAAAAAAGGTTCCAGTGCAGTTTGGTTTTAGTGCAAAAAAATATTAACTGGAACGTTTTTAAGTCTCCTGCAGTGGGTTAAAACTTCATGAACTAAAAACAGATGGGCTATCACCAGTTAAGAAATAATCCTAACAATGAGATTTTCTCACAATCTACTGCCACAGGTGATAATCTTATTACATATATTAAATTGTATTTAGTTGTACAATAAACAAAGTATAACACAAGTAGGTATAATTTGTGTTTTGAAAATGGTGCATATTGACCAAATAACTTCTGTTGGTTCATCAAAAATCATTAGTCAATATTCACTCTTTCAGAACCAACACTATAAGATGAAGGGTACTGACTGTAATTGCAGTTATTTTGAATTAATTTGGTTTCATAAAGCCCGTTTCACACTCCTTTTAATGGAGCGACGGGACTACTGTGAACTAATAAGATTTTATATTCGTTGATATTCACTATTTCGTGATGATTAATGAAATAGTACTCTTGGTCAAAAATCGTAACGTAACTACGAAGGAATATTTTCCTATGCATATGCCGCTTTTCATTTTGGAACATTTTAAGATATAGACTTAAAAAAATGTCGTGGGCGGTGTTCTGTTCTATAGTTAGCTCCACAGAACTATCATAACAAGTCATTAAGATCGTCACGTGATGAATACAAGATTCTTATACTAATTATCTACTAACCTTCAAGTATGTAATTTGATTATACATCTGGACGAGACACCCTATGTTTCTCGTATTGCGAAATAAAATGCACGTGTTTGTACATCTTTCGAAAAGTACTTTAATATAGTTTGTCTCTATACAGCTATCTCACTTCACTATTACTTTTGACACTTTGTTGTTCAAATACAAACTGTTCTACTAGTCATGCGTTCTGAATTAATCATAATTTTAAGGAAACCATCATAAAACCATTATCTAAATTACACTATTAAATTAAAATTAAACGTGTGATAAACCTGTACACAATGCGTAATCAAATTTACAGCATTGTTATTAAAAAATCTTGTATTTACGTAAACAATACAATCTGAACAATTATTATTCTTGAAAATTTAGCATGAATACACGAAAACATGTACTTTGAAATGTTTCTCGTTGTTGTCATCGCAAGCAACCAAATACGTAATAAGAAAACAATAATGCATTGTACTTGCAGTTACATGTTCTATGAATATACAAAAGGAAACGAGTGAATAGGGCCGCACATAAAAAACTGAAGTAGGAAATAATAATTATTACCGGAGAAAAGCGCGTTTCAACATGATTAACGGCCAAGGCTGCAAATTACCGACAAATTACAATTACCGGCGAAAATCGTTCCCTCGTTTTTGCGTTGTCTTGATCTATCAATAACCCTTTTCACCCTCACATATCTTCTAAGACTCACCAAAGAATTCTTCCCAGGTGTCATCGTCGCACCGGTCCGAGTCACTCATATTTAGGGAACGACAGGATGTCAATCACTGTAAACAGTCACATTTCTAACAAAAATGTCTCGTAATATCGCAGAACACGGAAATCGGCTTTTGTATACATTTACGATCTGTAGAACAAAACGTGACTCGGACAATCGAGCACGCGATCGTACAGCGACCACCACTGCGTCTGTTTCACAAGTAAATGCGGACGAAAAGGCGCGCGCACTCGTTCCATTCTTTACCATGCCGCTGGGACGCCTGCACAGATCTGTATACAGGGTGTTACACGCTGTTTGAAGTCTTGTGTGTCGTTAGTTTCTAGTAGAAGTCAAAATTGATTAAAAAGATCATACGTTTTTGATTGTTTTTTCTTGATCATACTGTGTGACACTTTTGTTGTAACCCGGACCAAAAGCGCTGTATTAATAGACATGATTCTTACGGTTATTACCCCACAAATACTGAAAAATATAAAAACTGTGGACGCGTTTCGCCAACCATATTAGCATTATCTGGACAAAGCTCAACTTAAGTAGGAATTAACTACAACTACACTATATCTCGTTTCCCGAACAGATAGAGCTGTCCTTTCTGTTCGCATCAATTGGAACCTTTACTCTTCTTTGCGCCTTCGTATTGTGCTTGTTTTCACTTTCCTGTCGTTTTTTGTGTGATTTGTTTTAATCGTTTTATCGGTACTTTCTGTAAATCAATCTTTTTACAGACTTCTATTATTTTGTTCTTGAATGGAAATCAAGTCGTGCTTCTGATTACAAATCTAGAGATTATTTCGACGGAACTTCCCTGTCCCTGAAGTACAGTCCAACACCAGCGCAGCCGCAGGGGCGCAAATTCCAACGGGACACGGTCCGCACAAGTGCGGACAGTATCAAATATTAATAATTAACACCTTGATTGCCAATGGCAAACCAATTTGAGGGAAAAGAACTCCCTTTGTCATATGTCATCTTTCTGTTTAGTTTTTCAAAGAAAGCTGTTTTTTTTCTGTCACACCTGTGTGGTTGACGTAGCCCAGTAAATTACGTTATTTACATTTTATTGTTAACCGCAGGACCATGCCAGTCGCAAATGAGTCAGATAATCGGCATTATTTTACATCGATTTGATGATCTTGTTGATTAAGTATGAGTACATTCTTGGCTTATCTATTGTCAATGCAATATCTATGTTGTATATAAAAATGAAACAGGAAAAAATATAGATATAAGAAATTTTCGGGTGGATCGGGTATATTATATATATATATATATATATATTGAGCTTTCCCACAAAAGTAGAACGAACAAAACTAAAAAATGATACTTCATTTTGTACTATGCTGGATCTAAGCAAAAAGAAAGCTAGAAAAATAGAATAATGTGCGTAAAAGTAGAGAAAACGTAAAGATGAAATGTAGGTAGTAAAAACAGAAACAAACTACTATGTGAATTTCAACTAACAATCTTTTATGTGTCTCAGAAATAACAATTACAACTTTAAGTGAAATTTATTCATACACATTATTAATTTATAAATATTTTTTCTATAGCAGTATGATTTTTTCAGAATTAATTTTTCAGAGGCCACCCTTTTAAATGGTAACGTAATTTTATCTGCTCTGCCTAAAATCGTGGGTGTCAGCGATATATGTATAGGATAATTTAAGGAACTACTGCATAATTTTAATCGTTATATATAGTATATGTCAAAAAAGACCAAAGACCAAAGAAATATGTAGGTAATGGGCAACTCAACTGCAACAATCCAGACAACCATGTGTTTTTTAGGGCACCAGTAGTAGTCTAAAACACCCTCTACATCCGATACGGCACTGGAAGAACTTCGGACAGATAAGCTAAAATGGAACAAAAAAGGTCCATTTATTATTTTGCGTAAGTAGCTGTTATTATGACAATTATTGTTTTATTTTTATTAAATATAGGCGGGCGCGACCTTATTGTACTCGAACATTTGAGTGATCAATAAAAAATAGGAAATTTCCGGAGATCGACTTTGTACCAGGACTTTCATTTGCAAAGTTGGGACTCAAAATCTACTCCACGTGACCAGCCGGTCGCACTTCGTATGATGTATCTAAAGTAAAAGAGGAATTAAACAATAAAAAATACATTAATAATAAACAAAATCAAAGCGGATTTATAAACCACAAGCACGTCATACAGTTGTTCGTGGGGATGATTAGAAAAATTTTGGTTGGCGTTTTACCATCTACACTATTGGAAAAAAGTAAAGCAACTCATCAGAGATAAAAAATGATTGAAACCAATAAAAACCTCCTTCGTTCAATTTTATATACGAGGCAGCGACAAAAGTAAAGCAACAGTTTTTCTCTAACCCAAATTATTTAGTAGACAATTTGCTAAAAAAACACTTATTTCTGCGAAAAACAGACCTGCTGGACTTAAAAGTGTAAAAAAGAATTTGACGATTGGAAAAAATATTCTTTTCTGATGAAACTCGCTATAAAAATTTTAATTCTGATGGAAAGAAGCGCGTAAGATGCTCAGTTAGTGGTAGATTTAAGCCGAAGTACATACAGTGAGAATTGCCCCCAAAACATTCTTCACTTATTGTTCAATCGTGGTTCAGGAAAACGACGTCTAGGTTTTCAAGTGGCCGCCATAATAGCCAGACTTAAATCCAATTGAAAACTTGTGAGAGAAAGTGGAGCGACAAATAAGAACTTCCGTATTTACAAATTAACAAGGTCTGCTAACAAAAATCCAAGAAGTATGGGCAACCCTAAGGTCATACAAAATGCAATCTCTTCAGTGTCACGCCGATGTGAAAAATGTAGACAAAATAATGGATATGCCATCGACTACTGGCTTTAAATAAACTAATATCATCGTTTGCTTTATTGGTTTTGTTATAAATCAATAAAGAATTAGTTCTGTATTTTTAGCTCCACTTTTATCATACAGATCTTTGCTAGATTCTTAAAATGTTGAATATTTTGTAGATTCAAGGTTGGAAAAGTTAATTAAATTTATAGAACAAACAACTCGAATATAGAAGAAAACATTTCAGTTACACTAACTCAATAATTAAGTTTGTTAAAAAAATAGATTGGTTGCTCTACTTTTGTCCAACAGTGTACATGATATTCCTAATGTACATTGCACACTTTGACAACGATGCGATAGTTTCGAAGTTAGCGTCTAACAGGCAGACAGGCAGATAGCTAGACAAACAGAAACGGAAGATCTATTTTTTCCCACCCTCAGGGTCATAAAACGTCGCGAAAACATAAAAGCAACTAGTCGTCCGATGGACCCTATTACAATAGTTCCTTAGTTTACGCTCAGGAAGTAAAAAAGTGTATAAAGAACGAAAGAATTAAAGAAAGTAATTAAATAAAAAGAAAGTATAAAGTATTTGACTTTGAAAAATAGTATATTTCTCTTAAAAACAATGTATATAATCACCCTATATAATATTGGCAATGCTGCTTTGACACGCTTTAGTTCGTTTACACGTTATCTCGCTGCTCTATTTTCTTCTATTTTTTAATAATCTTTTTAGAACTGAATTGTTGTAAGGTATTGATTGATGTTGAGGTGAGTTTGATTTTGTTTGTTTTGATAAATTTATTATTTGACTGAAATTTGTAGTTTAGAAAATTCAGTATAAACTTGCTCAAAACAATGACGTCACGGGCGAATGATCACCTGCACGTATTCTTTCAGTAATAGTAAGTAAAATATCCGTAATAACAATGTAATTATAATAACGTTTGGACTGAAATGCATTGAAATAAATGTGCGTTAAATTAATAGTTGCTTTATATTATTTACGTTTTTAGATGAAGTGAGAAAGAGAACATTATTTGGGCCACAATAACATATACCCTCCAGTATAATGTAATGGGGAGGGTGGGAAGATTAGGATTAGATAAGATATAAATGTAATAAAGTAGATGTATAGTTTTGGAAATTTTATTCCACCCTATAAAATTTTATTTATTAATAACGAGGCGGACAGTAGTACAATAGCAAGAGATATTTACAACTTAAGTTGTCGTGTGCCGATAATCCCCAGATGTTAGAAAGCAGAATAATCCAGGGACCATCGCCACTCAAGAACGAAAATGATCATTATTTTACGAGTACAACTACCTGCTAAATGTTCTCCGACAAATTCGGATGAACTCGTGTGAGCCATAAATATTTCTTACCCTTGTACTACTGTCCGTCTCGTTATTGTCACTAAAATTTTATAGGGTAGAATGAAATTTCCAAAACTATACCTACGAGTTTCTACAAACGTTTAACACTGATTGTATCGGAACAATATTAAACACTTCCAAGAATAGTCAACAATAAGCACATATGTGTTCGTAAAGTTATCAGATAACATATAATATTTATAGAGTGCACTAATCAAATTTGATTCAACAGACGAACAGGAAATATTGAAGTACCTCTTTAAAATACACTGACCGGCAAAAAACTGGCCATTCTGAAAAATTTCGCAAAACCACTTTACAAATTATTCATATAACTAGTGATCGTTATTTTATTAAAGAACCATTCACTATTGACACATGATGTACAAATTAGCAAAAAAAAGAAGACAAACAAACGCAGAATTAAATTTAATTTAACAAAATAACAAAAACAGACGAAGTACGATATTTTCTTAATTAAAACAATAAAGGAGGCTGTTGTTGTAAACAGTGTTTTTCATCATTTGATTATAAGTTTGGCAGTTAACAAACAAACAAACGTTTTCACGCGAAATTAATCCCGTGAACTCTTACAGACGTCTCTCAAATTGTCGCTCTGATCGAGGACGGTCGCAGTCAGCGCCATGTATATTTTCAGGGTGACCGTTTTTTTTTCCCAGTCAGAGTATATTTATAAAATTTGAAAATATCTATTACGTTCAAGTGAGATAAATAATTTAAATAGTTTGTAAAATGAACATGGAAATAATAGATATTACCTACTATTTTACTATTTACATTATCCTTCATGTAATTATTAATTTTTCATGTCAACTTCATGAAAATATCTACAAACAATGAAACTGAAACTAAATTAATCATTACTAGCTTTATAAGAACACCTACGGTTTTTCATTATGAGAAAAAATTTTCTATGCTACAACTTTACCAATTCCGTTTTTTTTTTCACAACAACAAGGTACAGTCGACGTGATCTTTG